CTCTCTCTCTCCTCTGCGTTGCAGGATGTTTACTCCAAACGCTTCATCCTGGTAGCCTCCATCTCCCAAGTGTCCAGCATCGGGGACCAGAAATTTGAAGTGATCACCAATAATCGGACGTTTGCTTTCCGGGCAGAGAGCGACGGTAAATGACGTGGGTTTGCTGACCGTGGCTCATCTCTCTGGTGGGAGAAGCAGAAGATGCGTTGATGCTCTCCTTGCGGCTCTGGGATCAGGTGGAATAAAGGCTCAAGGGCCAACGGTCACTTCAAAATATCATATAGAGCATAGAATCTCCGGGCTGGGAGGGACCTTGGAGGTCTTCTAGTCCAACCCCCTGCTCAAGCAGGAGATCTTACACCATTCTGGACAAATGGCTGTCCAGTCTCTTCTTGAAATCTCCAGTGTTGGAGCATTCACCACTTCTGGAGGCAGGTTGTTCCACTGGTTAATTGTTCTCCCTGTCAGGAAGCTTCTCCTTAGTTCTAGGTTGCTTCTCTCCTTGATTAGTTTCCATCCGTTGCTTCTTGCCCTGCCTTTAGGGGCTTTGGAGAAGAGGTGGACCCCCACCCCTCTTCTTTGGGGCAGCCATTCAAGTACCCTAGTCCTTATTTTCATTAGACCAGAGCAGGGGTCTTCAAACTTGGCCCTTTGATGACTTGTGGATTAAAACTCTGAATGTATCTTATCATGTTGCTGAGCGACAGCAGGTAAATCAAGACATCTGTGTAAATCAAGACATATGGCTGATGTGAAACTACACCAGGGGTCTTCCAACCTGGCCCTTTGATGACTCGTGGACTTCAACTCCCAGAATTCCTCAGCTAGAGTGCCTGGCTGAGGAATTCTGGGAGTTGAAGTCCAGCGGGTCTTCAAACTTGGCCCTTTTATGACTTGTGGACTTCAACTCCCAGAATTCCTCAGCTAGAGTGCCTGGCTGAGGAATTCTGGGAGTTGAAGTCCAGGGGTCTTCAAACTTGGCAACTTTAAGACTAGTGGACTTCAACTCCCAGAATTCCTCAGCCAGCATGCCTAGCTGAGGAATTCTGGGAGTTGAAGTCCAGGGGGTCTTCAAACTTGGCCCTTTGATGACTTATGGACTTCAACTCCCAGAATTCCTCAGCTAGAGTGCCTGGCTGAGGAATTCTGGGAGTTGAAGTCCAGGGGGTCTTCAAACTTGTGGACTTCAACTCTTCATATGTTTTAGCCTCCAGTCCCCTTGAACATCTTTGTTGCTCTTCTCTGTAGAGTCTCAGGATCCTTTTTGTATTGTGGTGACCCCAATTTCTATTGTGCGTTCCACTTTTGGGGGGGGGGCATTGAAACTTTGTAAGGATCCGCTCTGCAGATTGGACTGGTAGACGCCGAGAATTATTTTGAGGTCCTGCCACAATTATTCTTTCTGGAGATCTCCTAACCTAAGGAGAAATTTCCTGACAGGGAGAACAATTAACCAGGGGAACTACCTGCCTCCAGAGGTTGTGGGTGCTCCATCCCTGGAGGTTTTCAAGGAGAGACTGGAAAGCCAGTTATCTGAAATGGTAATAGGGTCTCCTACCTGAGCAGGGGGTTGGACTAGAAGACCTCCAAGGTCCCTCCCAACTCTGATATTCTGTAACCCCACCTCCCCGCCTTCCCCCTTTGCAGCTGAACGCAACGAGTGGATCCAGGCGGTGCAGAAGATGGTGGACGAAAAGAAGTCCAGGTGCTTACACAGACCGTCCCGCTTGCAGCCGGCCGGAAGCAGCCTGGACTCCGTGGACAGGAGTGGACCCCTGGAGCTACGAGGTTTTAAAAGCAAGCTCTACGTGGCCGTGGCTGGGGAGAAGGTCTTCCTCTACAAGAACGCCGAGGTACGTGGATGGTCCTACAAAGAAAGAACTCTCATGCCAACCAGGTTGGGGTTGGGCTGGATGACCTAACGGACCCCTTTGGGGGACAAGCAAATATTTCAGATTCTGTCCATGTGCTGTTGGACTGGATGACCTACAGCAGGGATCTCCAAGCTTGGGTGGCTGAGGAATTCTGGGAGCTGAAGTCCACAAGTCTGAAAATGGGCAAGGTTGGAGACCCCTTCCTTAGATGGGGGCTGGGGAATTCTGGGAGTTGAAGTCCACAAGTCTTTTAAAGTTCCCAAGCTTGGAGACCCCCTGACCCACAGGACCCCTCCTAGGGTCACGCAGAATGCATATATTATTATTTATTTTTTTTAAAAACTATCTGCCCAACTCACAATGACTCCTGATGGATTACAAAAATAAAGCCCCAATAAATTTAATAAGTAAACAAATAGTAAATAATAAAAAAACAATGATATTTCAGATTCAGACCATTTGCAAAATGCTTTTAGACTAGATGATCTACAGGATCCCTTTTGGGCTCAGGCAGAGTGCGTTGTTTATTATTATTATTGTTGTTGTTGCTGTTGCTGTTGTTATCATTATTATATTATTATTACTATTACTATTACTATTATTACTAAGAAGAGACCGGACAGCCATTTGTCTGAAATGGTATAGGGTTTCCTGCTTGAGCAGGGGGTTGGAATAGATGACCTCCAAGGTCCCTTCCAACTTTATTATTGTTGTTATTATGGATCATCGCACAGTCAGCCAGATGTTCAGACTGGATTTGGCATTTTGTTTATCTATCGAGTCCTTACCCAGGACCTGGGATAGGCAGATGTGGATGTTTGATGGTATTATAGATATCGTCGCAGGATGGAAGCGATTCCTAGTAAGGCCGCCTTTTGCAATTGACTAATAGCGAATTTGTCAATGCCAATGGTGTTCAAGTGGTGCTCCAGTTGTTGTTGTTATTATTATTATTATTATTACTATTACTATTATATTACTATTACTATTACTATTACTTTTACTATTAATATTGCTATTACTATTAATATTAATTATTAAGAAAATTTATAGGGCTGCCCAAGCCACTCATGGTGACTCCTGGTGACTTACAAAAATAAAGCCCCAATAAAACTTCAGATTCAGACCTTTTACAAAATGCTGTTGGACTGGATGACCTTTGGGACCCCTTGTGGAGGCAGGCGGAATATATTATTATTATTATTATTATTATTATTATTATTATTATTATTATTATTATTATTATTATTATTATTATTATTATTATTAATAATAATAAGGAAAATTTATATGGCCACCCAGCTCACTCACTGACTCACGGTGACCTCTGGGCAGCTTGCAAAAAAAAACCCACAACCATACAAAACCCCAATAATATCTCAAATTGTGACTGTTTGCAATTTGGGGTTCTGGGTTTGAAAATGGCTGTTTTAGGACTTTTGAAATGGATTTTTGAACCTTAAACACTTTGGGGGGGAAAAAACCCCAGAGCCTTGAAGAGTTGGCTTTGAAGACTAGGAAGCTGTTTTGCACCCCGGTGTAAAATGGGGTGCTCGAGAGACAGTTTGGGGGTGCTTTCCGTAACCCTGGGGGTGTCTCGGCGCAGGAATTCCGGCTGGGGATCGGCATCACCTACATCGAGATGAACGTGGGCAACGTGAAAGACGTGGACCGAAGGTGCTTCGACCTGACCACGCCTTACCGGATCTTCAGGTAGAGATCTCGGGCAGATCCAAGAGGATTTCCTTCTGGTTAACGGCGGGGTCTTGAATCCCGAGCGATCTGCCAAAGCTCTTGGGTTCCTACTTGGGTGGTTCGTGGGCACAGGAACCCCCACGAAAAGGGCACGGCCCTTTTCTCTCCTTGCCCTTAGCATCATCTCTCACCCACCTGCCTGTGGCTTGTGGTCAGCTCCGGCCAGTCCTTGAATTACAGTAGTCCATTTAGGGACCGTTCAAAGTCGCAACGGGACTGCAAAAAGGACCATTTTTCACACTTAACGACCGTTTGCAGCCTCCCCGTGGTCACGGGATGAAAATCTGGACGTTTGGCAGCTGACTCGCATTTATTTTTATTTATTTTTTTTTGTAACAAATTTTTTATTAGTTTTCCAGTTTTACATTTTGAGTATTTGGAAAGCAACGTGGTGATTGGGTTAGCCAATAGTTCAATAACAAAATCTTTAGGGTTTCCTGCCTGAGCAGGGGGTTGGACTAGATGACCTCCAAGGTCCCTTCCAACTTTACTATTATTATTATTATTATTATTATTATTATTATTATTATTATTATTATTATTATGGATCATCGCACAGTCAGCCAGATGTTCAGACTGGATTTGGCATTTTGTCTACCTATCGAGTCCTTTCCCAAGGACCTGGGATAGGCAGATGTGGATGTTTATTGGTATTATTATTATTATTATTATTATTATTATTATTATTATTATTATTATTATTATTATTATTATTATTATTATTATTATTATTATTATTATTATTATTATATCACAGGTTACATCATCAAACATTTCTTCTCTATTTCCCTTAACATTTGCTATATCATATTTAAGCTAGTAAATTTCTCATTATGTCAAACTCAGTTGAAGCTTCATCATCACATTTATCGATACGTTTTTTGCTTATCCATATCCATCTCCTGTTTTTAAGTTTTACCTAAATTTTAATTGCAGTACTCCAATTCAACCTTTAATATCCATAGTATTTCAGTTTCGGGTGACCCAAATTTCCTTTGCCTCACCACATAAACGTTGTAACATCTCACATACACATATTACTTACTTAAATATATTCTTATTTTATTTCACAAGCATTTTCTATTTCTCGTCCGAGTACATCGCCACTTAATAATGGAGCATCCTTTGTTATCTCAAGTCCGTCGTCTGTATTATCTGGGCTAAACAATAATTCCAAGCTATTTGCTAATAGTTCATTTTTCATTTCCCTTATAAGTCTAAATCCTCAGTATTAAGCCAATTAATCCCTTACTCACATTTATGACGGTCGCACGTCCCGTGTGTGTGTGTGTGATCCCCTTTTGCGACCTTCTGACAAGCCAAGTCAACGGGGGGGGAGCCAATTTCACTTAACAACCGGATTTGTAATTTAATTAACCAACTGCAGGAGTTCGTTTAGCAAACCCGGCCAGACAAGTCGTAAAATGGGGCAGAAAAACTCACGTCTCACTTAGCCAGATGAATTCTAGGCTCAACTGCGGTCGTTAAGCCGAGGAGCACCCGTCTTCCAAGGGGGAGGGCTTACTAAGGCTTTGTAAAGCGGTACTAACTGCTTCTCGTCCTCCTCCTCCTCCTCCTCCTCCTCCTCCTCCTCCTCCTCCTCCCTTCCAGCTTCATGGCTGAATCCGACCAGGAGAAGGAGCTGTGGGTGGAGGCCATGCAGCAATCGGTGGCCGAGGCCCTCTCCAACTTCGAGGTGGCCGAGAAGATCTGGACCTTGAAGGACAACTGCCTCTGCGCCGACTGTGGGGCCCCCAAGCCCGACTGGGGCTCCATCAACCTCTGCGTGGTCATCTGCAAGCGATGTGCAGGTAGGCGCACCAGCTGGGCGAAAGGGTGGGAGATGCCACCTTGGTGGGGGCATCTGAGATGATCCAGAGAGGTGGAGGAGTTGAATTTCTCCTCCTCTGCCTGGACTTCACTATGGTCCAGCCTTGTCCAAACCTCCGTAACCTTGTATTCCACCATGTTGAGACTCTGGAAAGAGTGCAGAGAAGAGCAACAGAGATGATCAGGGGACTGGAGGTTAAAACATATAAGGAACGGTTGCTGGAATTGGGTATGTCTAGTTTAACAAAGAGAAGGACCAGGGGGGACAGGATAGCAGCCTTCCAGTATCTCAGGGGCTGCCCCAAAGAAGAGGGAGTCAAGCTATTTTCCAAAGTGCCTGAAGGCAGGACAAGAAGCAACGGATGGAAACTCATCAAGGAGAGAAGCAACCTGGAACTAAGGAGAAACTTCCTGACAGTGAGAACAATTAACCAGTGGAACAACCTGCCTCCAGAATGCTCCAACACTGGAAGTTTTTAAGAAGAGACAGGACAGCCATTTGTCCGAAATGGTATAGGGTTCCCTGCCTGAGCAGGGGGTTGGATTGGATGACCTCCAGGGTCCCTTCCAACTCTATTCTATTCTAAGAGACTGGACAGCCATTTGTCCGAAATGGTATAGGGCAGTGATGGCGAACCTTTTAGAGACCGAGTGCCCAAACTGCAACCCAAAACCCACTTATGCATTGTCGGGTGCCGGGTGGGTTCTCCCCTTTTAGCTGCCTCACGGGCCATTTGGTCCCTCCCCGTGGGGCCTGCCCAATCACCTTCCCTGTGGAAATCTGCCCAGGGAACAACTGGCTGCTTCCAAGCTTGTTGAGGGAAACTGAGTCAGCCTCGCCCCTTCCCACTCTCTAACCTTCTGACCGGACCCCCTTTCCCCCGTCCTCCCCACCCAGGAGAGCATCGAGGGCTGGGACCCAGCGTGACCAAAGTGCGGAGTCTGAAGATGGACAAGAAGGTCTGGACAGAGGAGCTGATTGAGGTACTGGTCAGTTGAGGGGCATCTCTCCGAGTCTCTCCGGGGGCTGGACCCATCTTCTCTCTCGGGGCAAGGGGGCAACTGGGGGGAGCCAGGTGCAGCGGGGGTATGTGTGTGTGTGTGTGTGTGTGTGTGATGCGGCAAGAACTGGACTCTGCCTGTCCTGAAGGCTTCGGGGGCAAGCAGGGTGGTAAACTGAGGCAAGGGAGGAAGTTTGGTCTTCTAGTGATTAAAGGCACCCGGCTAGTAAGAGAAAGACGGGGAGTTCTAGTCCTGCCTTAGGCATGAAAGCCAGCTGGGTGACTTTGGGCCAATCACCAGGAGACGGAGAGTTCTAGTCCCGCCTTAGGCTTGAAAGCCAGTTGGGTGACTTTGGGCCAATCACTAGGAGACGGAGAGTTCTAGTCCCGCCTTAGNGGTGGCTTTGGGCCAATCACCAGGAGACGGTGAGTTCTAGTCCCGCCTTAGGCATGAAAGAGAACTGGGTGACTTTGGGCCAAACGCCAGGAGACGGAGAGTTCTAGTCCCGCCTTAGGCATGAAAGCCGGCCGGCTGACTTTGGGCCAATCACCAGGAGACGGAGAGTTCTAGTCCCGCCTTAGGCATGAAAGAGAACTGGGTGACTTTGGGCCAATCACCAGAAGGCGGTGAGTTCTAGTCCCGCCTTAGGCATGAAAGAGAACTGGGTGACTTTGGGCCAATCACCAGGAGACGGAGAGTTCTAGTCCCGCCTTAGGCATGAAAGCCAACTGGGTGACTTTGGGCCAATCACCAGGAGACGGAGAGTTCTAGTCCCGCCTTGGACTTGAAAGCCAGCTGGGTGACTTTGGGCCAATCACTAGGAGATGGTGAGTTCTAGTCCAACCGTAGGCATGAAAGCCAGCTGGTTGACTTTGGGCCAATCACCAGGAGGCTGTGAGTTCTAGTCTCACCTTAGGCATGAAAGCCGGCTAGGTGACTTTGGGCCAGCCTCTCTCTCTCTCAACCCAACCCACCTCACAGAATTGTTGTTGTTGTTGTTGTGAGGAAAACGGGGGGAGGCGGGAGGTCCATCTCTGCACACCAAGAGGTTTCCACTTCCTTGAGAGAAGAAGGGGCTGCTTCTAATCCTCGCGATGGGCCGACGCAGCCACGGAGGGGCAGCACTTTCCCAAAATGGCCGCTGTGTAAACAGCAGGAGGGATAGAAATGGCAGCCAGGATCAGACGGGGCTGTGGAGACGCCGGGCAAGGCACGGGAAGAGCCCGGTGGGCCGAGACGCAGGCTCAAGCCGGGCCACGAAGAGCCCGAGTGGAGAGTCCGGACGATCCGCGGCCTTTTTCTCTCCTTCTTGCCTTCTCAGCTCTTCCTCCAGATCGGCAACGCGGTGGCCAACCAGTTCTGGGCTGCCAACGTGCCCCCCAGCGAAATGATCGCCCCCGAGAGCCACAGCCAGCAACGGCGGCATTTCCTGATCGCCAAGTACCGGGAGGGCAAATACCGGCGGTACCACCCGCTTTTCGGGAACCAGGATGAACTCAACAAGGTGGGTGGCTGGACGGCAGGCGGGTTGGTCCCAGTTTGGGCGCCTGGCAACTGGCGTGTACTTGCGACGGTTGCAGTGTCCCCGGGATCGTGTGATCCTCTTTTGGGACCTTCCGACAAGCAAAGTCAATGGGGGGAACCTGATCCACTTAAGGACCGTGTTGCTAAATTAACAACTGCAGTGATCCACTTAACAACGGTGGCGAGACCGTAGAATGGGGCAAAATTCAGATTACCACCGTCTTGCATAGCAGTGGAAATGTTGGGTGAAGTTGTGCTTCTAATCAAGGACCACCTGTAAAGGAAACCATTCTTAGATGGGGGGGAGGAAGGAAGGAAGGAGAGAGGGAGGGAGGGAAGGAAGGAAGGAAAAAGAATGAAAGAAAGAGAAAGAAAAAGAAAGGAAAGAAAGAAAGAAGGGAAGGAGGAAGGAAGGAGAGAGGGAAGGAAGAAAGGAAGGAAGGAAAAAGAAAGAAAAAAGAAAGAAAGAAAAAGAAGAAAAAGGAAGGAAGGAAGGAAAGAAACAAAGAAAAGAGAAAGAAAAGGGAAGGAGGGAGGGAGGGAGGGAAAGAAAGAAAGAAAAAGAAAGGAAGGAAAGAAAGAAAGAGAAAGAAAGAAAGAAAGAAAGAAAGAAAGAAGGGAAGAAGGTGAGGAGTAAGGAAGGAGAGAGAGAGGGAAGGAAGGAAGGAAAAAGAATGAAAGAAAAGAAAAAGGAAGGAAAGAAAGAAAGAAACAAAGAAAAGAGAAAGAAAAGAAAAGGAAGGAGGGAGGAAGGGAGGGAAGGAAGGAAAAATAATGAAAGAAAGAAAAAGAAAAAGGAATGAATGAATGAAAGAAAGAAAAAGGAAGGAAAGAAAGAAAGAAAGAAAGAAAGAAAGAAAAAGAAAGAAAAAGGAATGAGGGAGGGAGGAAGGAAAAAGAATGAAAGAAAGAACGAGAAAGAAAGGAAGGAAAGAGAAAAAGAAAAAAGGAAGGGAAGAAAGAAAGAAAAAGAAAAAAGAAAGGAAGGAAGAAGGAAAGAGAATAGGAAGAAAAAAGGAAAGAAAAAGAAAGAAAAAGGAAGGAAGGAAGGAAAAAGAAGAGAAAGAAAGGAAAGCGAAAGAAAGAAGAAAGTAAAAGGGAGAGATGGAGGAACAAAAAGAGAAAGGACAGAAACAAAGAAAAAAGAAAGGAGAGAAAGAAAGAAAGAAAGAGAAAGAGGAAAGAGCAAAAGAAAGAGAGAAAGAAAAAGGTAGAAAGGTAGGGAAGGAGGAACAAAAAAGGAAAGAGAGAGAGAGAGAAAGAAAGAAAGAAAGAAAGAAAGAAAGAAAGAAAGAAAGAAAGAAAGAAAGAAAGAAAGAAAGAAAGGATTCTATGACTTCCATGAATGCTGGAGGAGACCTGAGCCTGCTCTTTGCAAAAGAGGAACCAAAACTGGCCTGGGAAACCCGGCTCTTGTGGAGAGAAAACATCCTTTTCTCACATTCCTTCTCCTCCTTTTTTGTTGACCCAACCAGTTTGGCAGGAAATTGGAAGAAAAGGCAATTTTTTCCCCCGGATTGTGGGCTGGCCCCAGATGGGCGAGCCTTGGGTTCAGCCTGCCAGAAACAACAGCTCTGAAAAGGCCTGGCCTGCCTAAAAATTAACCCGCTCCAGCCAGACCCAAAAAAACCAAAAACCCTCCCCATCGGTCGGCTGTGCCCCCCCCAGCAGCCGAAGGACTCGAACTCGGACCCCCCGAGTGGCAAAACGCTCCCCGGGGGCCAGGATCCGAGAAGAGGCAGGTGGGGAGAGAAGCAAAGAAGGTGTATGGAGGGAAAAACAGCGGCCCGGCGAGGCAGGAGGCTGCAGTGGCTAAGAAAGCAGCTGCAGTTAAACTGAGGACTAGAAACTTGAAGGCGGCAGGGACACGCTCAGGGGCTAAGCTGGCTCCGAAAAGAGAGAGGACGTTTTGGACCCACCACACCTGCCCCGCTTTGGGGGAGAAGGCTGGCGCTCCAGAGCCTCGGAGGGGGCTTGTTTGGGGGGTGGGCGTGCTCCCCCTCGGGGGTCCCCGGAGGGCCCGATCCAGACGGGCAGCAGACAGACCCCCGGTTGGGCGTCCCCCCCCCTCCAGTGGAGGAATTCTCTCTCCAGAAGCATCCCGGGGTCCCCAGGGCGAGGGCGGCTGCAGGCCGGGGAAAAAATTGGCTCCGGGTTTATCCGAGGCCCGGCCAATCCAGAGGAGGGAAGGGCTCCTGGCTGCCTCCTCCAGATGTTCGTCAACATCTGGCAGAACTGGGACCGGCTTGGCCGGATCGTCGCCCTTCGGCCTCTCTCCCCCCCCCCGCCCTCTGCTCTGCTGGCCGGTGCAGAAGCCGCTGTGCCTGCTTCCTCCTCTGTGCCTCCTCCCGCCCCACCTCACTCCTGGCTTCCTGGGTAGGGGGCTGGACTAGAGGATCTCCAAGGTCCCCTCCCACTCTTGTTATTCTGGATTCTCTCCCCTGGCTGCTGCCCGGCGTCACTAGTGGGGCCGCCTGCCTTCCCCAGATCTCAGGTTCCTGGTCTGAAAGGTGACCTCTTCTCCCCTCCCTGTCCCCCCCCGTCCTCCCCCCCCCCAGGCCCTCTGCACAGCAGTGACCACCAGTGACCTGGCCGAGAGCCTCTCCCTACTCTTCTGTGGGGCCGAAGCCAATTGCTACACCGGAGACCCGGATTATCCCACCCCGGTTGCCCTGGCAGAGCAAGCTGGACAGAGGCTGCAGATGGAGTTCCTGATGCAGAACAAGACCTCCGGTAAGGGGAGGGGGCTGCAAATGGGAAAGAAGGGGGGGGGCTGGAGGGAGGAGGGGGCAAATACCCCTCCTTGACGGGCAGGCAAAGACTTGGCCTCGTGGCACGGCCGGAGCCACGTCCAGCCAATGGACTACGGGGGTCTTCCTGACCTCCGTATGGCCGGTTGGGCCCCAAGGGGGTTGGGGTGGGTCGGTGGGCTTTTCCGTGCTCAAGGAGTGGGGTGTTTTTTGGCCTGTTGTTTTGGGGAGGGGGTCCTTTCAGGGCCTCCGTCTTAGCCGAAGAGGAAGGCAAGGAGCAGGGGAGAAGAGCCGAGCCAGTCCTGAGACCTTCTGCACGTTGCCGTGGCCGATTGCGCAGCCAGCCAGATGTTCAGAGTGGATTTGGCATTTTGGCCCACCTCCCTGGGATGGGCAGATGTGGGTGATTGATGGGGTTTAAGGTTTTAGAGCAGGGGGGTCAGCTCTTCCCAGTGAGTCAAACGGCCTCTTGCCATTGACCGGTGGTGAGTTTGTCAATGCCGATGGGTTTCGAGGGCTGCTCCAGATGTTTGGGGGATTGCACCCAGGGGGTCTGTTATCATGAGGGCGGTTTGCGCAGTCAGCCAGATGTTTGGACTCGATTTGATAGGCAGGTCTGGATGTTTGATGGTATTAATGGTCTCGTCAGGATGTCAGCCGTTCTAAATCAAGCTGCCTTCCGCAATTGACCGATGGGGATTTTGTCAAGGCCCAGGGTTGTTATTATGGTTTGTCGCAGAGTCAGCCAGATGTTCGGACTAGATTTGAATATTTGTATACACCCACCGATTCCTTCCCAAGGACCCTGGGATGGGCAGGTCTGGGTGTTTGACGGTATTAAAGGTCTCGTCACAGGATGTCAGCCGTTCCGAGTCAAGCTGCCTTCTGCAATTGACCGATGGGGATTTTGTCAACGCCCAGGGTTGTTATTATTATGGTTCATCGCAGAGTCAGCCTGGATTTGGCGTTTGTGTCCATTTGTCCAGTCCTTCTCAAGGACCTGGGATAGGAAGGTGTGGTTGTTTGATGGTCTTAACAGCATCACCGCTCTTCTGAGCAAAGTTGCTCTTTGCCGTTGACCAACGGGGTGATTCTCTCAATGCCGCTGGGGTTCAAGTGGCGCTCCAGATGATTGGCACGGCCGCCCATCTCGTACAGGGGATGCTCAGTGCCTCCCATCTGGTGAAAACAACCATCCAATAAAAACAAATTTAAAAACCCCCAATATTCAGCCATATAAAAACCATCAATAATCTTTTCTCAAACAAAAATACAGCTAGTCCTCAACGTTCAACACGGTCTATTTGTTGTGGGGCAGGCAGGAATCTGGAGAAGATGCCCTCCCTCTTTTAAGCAGTGAGGGAAGGGGTGAGGGGTAAGTAGGGGCACCAGCTTGTAAGTGCAAAAGAAGGCAAGGGCCCACCTCAAAACAGGTGCTGTTGAAACAGAATGGACATCGAAGAGCGACTTTACAATTAGTCCTTGACTTATGACCACAGTTCATTCATTGATTTATTGATGCATCGATCAATTGATTCATTGATCGAATGATTCTTTGATTGATTGATTGATTCATGATTCATTCATTGATTCATTCATTTATTAATTCATTTATTAATTAATTCATTGATTGATTCATGATTCACTGATTGATTGATTCATTTATTGATTGATTGATTCATTGATTGATTGATTCATTGATTGATTTATTGATTTGATTGATTGATTCATTCATTGATTCATTCATTGATTCTATCAGAGCGTGCACAGTCTTATTGCGCGAGATAATGCGCGAGATAATCCAGGAGTAACCACAGTAAACAGTGGTCTATATTAAATGGTGGTTTATCTTACATTATCTACAATATCAATATACATACTCATGCTAATGCAGCAGGATCCAACAAACCACAGTTACAGCAGGAAAATGGAAGAAAGAGAACACATCTGCAGAGCCTTCCCTTTTATACAAAGGCTCTTAAAGAGACACAGACCCTGCTGAGTCATTCCCATCATTACATCTTAACATTACATAAGCTGGTTAGCTGTTAACTCATGACCTTGACCGATTCATTGATTCATTCAATTTCTACGACCACCCGTCTCAGCCAATGACTTTTGGGACAACTGAGATCGGAATATCCTGGGCAGAGCAAAGTGGTTGTTAGCTGAGTTGCGCCCAAGTGCCGTGGCTTTTAAGCCAATCATTCACTTGGTTAAGTGAATCCCACGGTCGTTAAGCAGATCCGGCTTCCCCCATTGACGTCGCCTGTTGGAAGCCGGCTGGGAAGGTCCGAAACGGCCTCCACCTGACCTGGGATACTGCAGCCATCAGAAATAGACGCTGGTGGCCGAGCGCCCAAATTTGGATCCCCTGACTGTGGGGAGACTGCAACGGCCATCGCTTTTTTCAGTGCTGTCGTAACTTGGAATGGTCGCTCAACAAAGTGTTATAAATTGAGGATAATAATAATAATAATAATAATAATAATAATAATAATAATAATAATAATAATAATAATAATAACAATAATAATAATAATAATAATAATAATAATAATAATAATAATAAAGTTGGAAGGGACCTTGGAGGTCATCTAGTCCAGCCCCCTGCTCAGGCAGGAGAACCTATACCATTTCAGACAAATGGCTGTCCAGTCTCTTCTTAAAAACTTCCAGTGTTGGAGCATTCACCGCTTCTGAAGTTTATAGAAGGCTGTTGTGTGCAGGCGAGGACGATCTCCTAAAATCAAAAGAAGAGAGGGCTGAAATTCAAAGAAAAGACCATCATCTTAGGTGAGGGGTAGGCAACCTTGGCTCTTTTAGGACTCGTGGACTTCAACTCCCAGAATTCCTGGGCCAGCATGGGGGAAACTTTGGCCCCTTCATGACTCGTGGACATCCAGAATTCCTGGGCCATCATGGGGGAACTATGGCCCCTTCATGACTGGTGGACTTCAACTCCCAGAATTCCTGGGCCATCATGGGGGAACTATGGCCCCTTCATGACTGCTGGACTTCAACTCCCAGAATTCCTGAGCCAGCATGGNTGCCAGCATGGGGGAACTATGGCCCCTTCATGACTGGTGGACTTCAACTCCCAGAATTCCTGAGCCAGCATGGGGGAACTATGGCCCCTTCATGACTCGGGGACTTCAACTCCCAGAATTCCTGGGCCAGCATGGGGGAACTATGGCCCCTTCATGACTCGCGGACTTCAACTCCCAGAATTCCTCAGCCAGCATGGAGGGTGGTATAAACAGAGGCATAGAATCAAGATCAGGCGAGGTATTAGCACCGCTTTATAAAACCCTAGCGAGGCCACACCTGGAGTTTTGGTCTGCAGCCAGTTTTGGTCACCATATCACAAACAAAGATGTTGAGACTTTGGAAAAAATTCAGAGAAGAACAACTAGGGCAGTGATGGCGAACCTTTTAGAGACCGAGTGCCCAAACTGCAACCCAAAACCCAATTATGCATCGTCGGGTGCCGGGTGGGTGTGGCCCAGTGGGTGGGTGTGGCCCATTGGCTGGGCGTGGCCCACTGGGTGGGCATGGCCGCGGTGGTAACGCCAGACTGGGTGGGACTAAAAAGTTCAATCACTCAATTCCAACTTTGCAAGATCTTTTTTTTTCCCGTGAGAAGTTGAAATTGACTGATTGATTGAACCTTTTTTTTTTTGCACATGGCGGCGGAGGTCTAAAGTGAAAAGGTTTTATAAAACCCAGCAGAAGGCCCAGGACTGGGGCGACGGCGCGTGTGCCCACAGAGAGGGCTCTGAGTGCCGCCTCTGACACCCGTGCCATAGGTTCACCACCACTGGCCTAGGATGATTAAAGGCCTGGAGACTAAGCTATTAGTCAATAGCTTGACTACTAGTCAAGCTACTCTCCAAAGCGCCTGAAGGCAGGACGAGAAGCAACGGATGGAAACTCATCCAGGAGAGAAGCAACCTGGAACTAAGGAGAAACTTCCTGACAGTGAGAACAATTAACCAGTGGAACAACCTTCCTCCAGAAGCGGTGAATGCTCCAACACTGGAAGTCTTTAAGAAGAGACTGGACAGCCATTTGTCCGAAATGGTATAGGGTTTCCTGCCTGAGCAGGGGGTTGGACTAGATGACCTCCAAGGTCCCTTCCAACTTTTTAAATAATAATGATGATGATGATGATGATAATAATGATAATGATGATGATGATGATGATGATGATGATGATGATGATGATGATGATAATAATAATAATAATAATAATAATAATAATAATAATAATAATAATAATAATAATAATAATAATAATAATAATAATAATATGAAGAACGGTTGCAGGATTTGGGAATGGCCAGTGGAGAAAAGAAGGACTGGGGGGGGGACATGATTGCAGTATTCCAATATTTGAGGGGCTGCCACAAAGAAGAGGGGGTCAACTTATTTTCCAAAGCACCAAAGACAAGAAACAATGGATGGAAACTAATCAAGAAGAGAAGCAACCTGGAACTAAAGAGAAATTTCCTGACAGTTAGAACAATTAACCAGTGGAACTACCTGCCTCCAGAAGTTGTGGGAGCTCCATCACTGGAGACTTTTAAGAAGAGACAGGTGAACCACTTGTCTGAAATGGTATAGGGTCCCCTGCTTGAAAAGGGGTTGGACTAGAAGACCTCCAAGGTCCCTTCCAGCTCTATTCTGATTGATTCATTATGGATGGATGGATGGATGGATGGATGAGAGACCACCAGAAGATCCTAAGGCTATAAACCAGCCTGTGAATTTGAAAAACATGCTCAGGAAAAAAAACACAACCCAGAGTAAAATCACTTCGCTGTTGCTGGAGCCCAGCAGGATTGGAGACCATCCTTATCTCTCCTTTCCAAGAACTGACATGTTCTCTTCTTTCCTGCATGGATCTCTGACCGCAGAAACGTGGAAAGGAAAGAATGCAGGGTGTGTAAAGGCCTTTCCTGGCAAATCCAGGAGGAATTTCCAGCAGTGAATGATGGATTGTTGTGGGGTATTTTGTGAGTCACTCCAATGCAACAGCTGGTTCCTTCAGCTTCCTGGCAAGGAATGAGGTCCACCAGGAAGTTAAGAAATTTGTGCAGAGGTGTGACAAGGAAGGGGTTGGGGTCCTTATGAAGCAGGAGACCCCCCCCCCAAATAACAGGCAACCCCCAGCTTCTGAGCTCCTCCTTAAACCCCTTCAGGTCAAAAGCAGGAATTTGAATCCCTGCAGAAGCCGGAAAACTCCTGGCTGGCCTCAGTTTGTTGGTGGTTGATTGATTGATTGATTGATTGATTTGATTTGATTTGATTTGATTTGATTGGACTTGATTCCTATGTCCAGTCATCTCAGGAAACAGCTCTGGGCGACTCACAATTCAAAGCATACATTACAATTAGTAAAAATAGGTGAGATGGTATAAATCCTCCTGCTTGAGTAGGGGGGCTGGACTAGAAGATCTCCAAGGTCCCTTCCAGCTCTATTCTATTCTATTCTATTCTATTCTATTCTATTCTATTCTATCATTATTCTATTCTATATTTCTATTCTGTTCTGTTCTATTCTATGTTATTCTATTCCATTCCATTCTATTCTATTCTATTCTATTCTATTCTATTCTATTCTATTCTATTCTATTCTATTCTATTCTATATTTCTATTCTGTTCTGTTCTATTCTATGTTATTCTATTCTATTCTATTCTATTCTATTCTATTCTATTCTATTCTATTCTATTCTATTCTATATTTCTATTCTGTTCTGTTCTATTCTATGTTATTCTATTCTATTCTATTCTATTCTATTCTATTCTATATTTCTATTCTGTTCTGTTCTATTCTATGTTATTCTATTCTATTCTATTCTATTCTATTCTATATTTCTATTCTGTTCTGTTCTATTCTATGTTATTCTATTCTATGTTATTCTATGTTATTCTATTCTATTCTATTCTATTCTATTCTATTCTATTCTATTCTATTCTATTCTAGTAAAAGCTGTTATAAAACAATAAAAAGCATTAAAACACCAGTTCTTGCAGGAGACCCCCTCCCTGCCATCCCTTGGCCCGTTCAAAAGCCCCCCACCCCACCCCTTTTGTTTCCAGGGACATTTGAAGGATTAAGGGGTCCAAATCTCCCTCCCAAACAGAAGGGCGGCAACCGTTGATCGGAGAGACAGACAGAAAAACCAGACGTGCTTTTGAAGGAGGGGAACCTGGCTGGTGTTTTGTTAGTAGAACATCTGGTTTTCATTGTCCCCCCCGCCGCCGCCCCCCTCCCAGCCCTTGGGATGTTGAATTTGGCTGCCCGGCCTTAGAAAAGATATAAAAGCAGGAACAGCCATCCCTGGACTGGGAAGCTGTCTGACCCTGCGTCTCATCATCTGAGGCAGGGGTCTCCAAGCTGGGCCCCTTTAAGATATGTGGACTTCAACTCCCAGAATTCCCCAGCCAGCCATGCTTTCCTCCCTCCCTCACTTCTTTCCCTTCCTTCCTTCCTCCTTTCCCTCCCTCCCTCCCTCCGTTCCTTGTTTCATCCCTCCGTCCCTTCTCCTTTCTTCCTTCTTTCCTCCTTCTCTCAGTTCTTTTCCTTCCTTCCTCCTTTTCCTCCCTCCCTTCATTCCTTGTTTCATCCCTCCGTCCCTTCTCTCCTTCCTTCTTTCCTCCCTCCCTCACTTCTTTTCCTTCCTTCCTCCTTTCCCTCCCTCCCTCCCCTCGTTTCGTCCCTCCGTCCCTTCTCTCCTTCTTTCCTCCTTCCCTCACTTCTTTTCCTTCCTTCCTCCTTTCCCTCCCTCCCTTCCTGTTCCTTGTTTCATCCCTCCGTCCCTTCTCCTTGCTTCCTTCTTTCCTCCCTCCCTCCCTTCTCTTCCTTCCTTCCTCCTTTCCCTCCCTCCCTTCGTTCCTTGTTTTGACCCTCCGTCCCTTCTCTCCTTCTTTCCTTCTTTCCTCCCTCCCTCCGTTCCTTGTTTCATCCCTCCGTCCCTTCTCTCCTTCCTTCTTTCCCCCCTCACTTCTTTTCCTTCTTTCCTCCTTTCCCTCCCTCCCTTCCCATCCCATCCATCCCATCACTCCCTCTCTCCATCCATGCTGGCTGGGGAATTCTGGGAGTTGAAGTCCACAAATGGAACCATCTGCCTCCAGAAGCTTTGAATGCTCCAACACTGGAGGTTTTTAAGAAGAGACTGGACAGCCATTTGTCCGAAATGGTATATAGGGTTTTCTGCCTGAGCAGGGGGTTGGACTAGATGACCTCCAAGGTCCCTTTCAACTTTATTATTATTATTATTATTAAGTCTTAAAGTGGCCCAGCTTGGGGACCCCTGCCTTGGATGCTGGCTGGGGAATTCTGGGAGTTGAAGTCCACAAGTCTTAACGTGAGCTGCCTCCCGCCCGGTCTCCACCGGCCCCTCTTTTGCTATGTCTTGTCTTTGCAGAGACCCCCCAGCTGGACGCTGGCCCCCAGGCTGAGCAGTGCTACTCGGTCATCTCGCTCTCCGTGGCCCACAATGGCTTCCTCTACAAGGCGCCCTCCATGGCCAAGCTGGCCCTCGAACGCAAGTCCCGAGAAGGTCAGACGAAGCCCTGGGGGGGGGAGGGGAGGAGGGGGGCTTTTCTAGGGGTGTTTGCCTGAACAAAGTCCAGGAAGAGAAAGAGAAGAAATTTACACACACACACACACACACACACATACCGCTTCCCTGCAGTTTGCGGCTTTCCATACTCTAGTTTGATTCCATTCTGTTGCTTCCCTCCCTTCCTTCTCCCCTCCTTCCCACCCTTTCTCCTTGATTTTATCTCCTTCCCTTCCTCTCTCTCTGCTTCCTTCCTTCCTTCCTTCCTTCCTTCCCTCTCTCTCTCCCTCCCTCCCTCCCTCCCTCCCCTCCCTTCCTTCCCTCCCTCCCTCTCCTTCTTCCCTTCCTTCCTTCCTTCCCTCCCTCCCTCTCCTTCTTCCCTTCCTTCCTTCTCCCTCCCTCCCTTCATTCCTTGTTTCATTCCTCCGTCCCGTCTCTCCTTCCTTCTTTTCTAACTCA